AAACCTAACATCTCATTTTAACAAATAAAGGCACTATTTCCACATACAGTTTGGAATTATCAGCAATCATGAAACCACACAAAAAATTAATATACATTAAGCACTTCATCTTCTGATGGCTTCCTCTGAGTTTCAGTTATCGCTGCCTTCTCCTCATTTCCTTTCTTTGTATCTTCCTGTATTGATCTCTGCCTTTTCATCTCTTAAAAAAAGGAGAAAGACATGTAAAATTATTATAAAGCTTGATATTTGTGTATTGAAATGTGGATTTACATTATCAGCATATATATGTATACATATTCAAATATTGTTAAAATCGTAAGATGGGAAAATTTAAAAAGTGTTCATACCTGGTCTATTCTCAACATATTGACTAAAAGACTGAAGTTGAGTTTTTCTGACTGTTGAATCTTTGCTGAACACAACAGGATTTCTAAAATGTTCTGTAGCTTTTGGTAATCTCTCAGTCCGGAGATCTTCTGTGCCATTCTAAAAGTAAAATACATGGTACAACAATCCTAATTTTATGAACATGAAATTACACATAAGGAAGATAACTTTTACTAATTTAGGATCATGCTGACTTAGAGACTTTAGAAAGTGTTTGAAAGAAAGATTTTTTTGAAGTACTCTAAATTACTCAACAGCAAGTTGTACTGCCCATAATAATAATAAAAACTTTGAGATACATGGTTTACATCATTGATAACTTAGATACTGTGAACCCTTGTGTCTTCTAATGAGAGGTATTGTTTAAAAACCATGTTTACCTCCTGTGCCCCCACTATTCTGCCCCATCAGTTTATACAGTCCCACAGACTTGTAGGACAAGAAGAAATAGTTTCTAATTTTATGCCCGTTGAGATAAACCACTAATGCTGGATGAAGGCTAAAAGGTAGGATTATAATACTACCCCACTGAACTGCATTTCATCAGCTATAACTTTCCAAAGCCAGATTTGTAAGTAAGCCCTTTACAGCTAAGGAAACTACAATTATCTTTTCTGGAGCTTCCTATGTTAATACTGGTAACAAATTCAAATGGTTCTATCAACAAGAAATATCCCAGAAGACTGAACCACTGCAGTGTGTGGAAGCTGCAGATACCGAGGTGCTGTGTACCAAACAAATATTTCATTTTATACCTAATCTTTTATTATTTTTATTAAGTGTTTTGAAAGTAAATAGGGAAAGGCTAAGATGCATGACTAATAGCTAAGCCTGCTGAATGCTGAAACTGGTTATCAAAAGCTACCAAGACTTTGCCCTTCCTCTGCATTGAGACAATCAGTAATGAGGGAGCCCTCCAATGGCCTATTCTCTAGCCTCAAGGAGGCCTGGGATACAGAATTCTCAAGGGAAGGTAACAGTTTATCCTTTTCCACAAACACAGAATGCCTCATTAATAAATGTGTAAACTGCATTTTATCATAAAAATAAAAAAAAACCCAATCAACTCTGGAAGCTTCAAGAACAGATGGACTCTATATGTTCTTTATAAACATCATTTTCAAAATCTTAGCTAAAAAACATTCATACAAAGGCATCTACTTAAAACTCACCTTTTTTTTGGAATGCGTTTAAAAAAATTACTAGATAACAGCTTTTTGGAGAACAAAATGAATCTCATTCATATAGATGATTAAACTTTAAGAATGAGATACCCTATTTTTTAAAAAAATTATCTAACATATTTATCATTAATATCATTCTTTTATCTAGCTACGTGAAATCAGGATAGAAATAATTTTTGCTTTTACTTTTAAGATTATATAAATCTTACTGACAGTATAATAACCATCCAAGAGTCTGAAACTCAAGTCTTTATCAAAATAAACAGAGTTAAATTATTTTAGGCCGAGCAACATGCTAAAATATCAGTGTAATTAGCTAGCAAATCCCATCTTAAGAAACCTTTTTATGAGTAGGGACTTCTGCCACTTTACAAATGTATTCCTCTAAACCCACTAATTCAGTTAGCCTTTTCAATCCATTGTATTATTCTTAGGCCAGCTTCCTTCTGCATTAAATCCACTGCAGAAAGCTAAATTGAACGCAAAAAATCAGACCTGATCCAGGCTTCCTTTTGTTAAAAGATAGAGACCAAAAGTCTTCTGTTGCTGCCACACACTTTCATCACCAATTTATAGAAACCCACAATATAGGGGAAAAGCAATGAAAGTCATTGTTTTGGGACTTCAAAGCATCTCTGTGTCAGGGCAAGGAAATCCTTTCAGTCAGCAGGGCAATCCACATAGTCCGCAGGTGGGTAAAAAGTTATACAGAGCCTAAAGTGTCCTAAAGCTAGAGAAATACTAATGGTACACTATGAGGAAATGAGGGAACATGTGGATGGAGATAATACAGTGTATAACAATAACTGATTTACAGTATGTGTCATTTTAGCTAAAATGCAAAGTTTATAATGGCACAAAACACGTGAATATCTTAAGCACTTATATTTGATGATATTACTGCATTCACATAAAATGGACTCCTAGAAATAACAAAGTTCACTTAAATGCACAGAAAATTGAAGATGGTAGAATAATGTACTAAATTCGGTAATATTCTTATAAAAAATACATATAGATATAGAACATATACATATATAACTGAACAGTTTCTATGTCCTGTGATTTTTTACTTGAAATAGCAATTGAAAGGAAGAATTTCTCTCAAAAACAGTATATGAAAACGAATCATAACATATTAAATTTGTTGGCTACTTAATAAAAGTTCTTAAATCTTATTTTAATGTAAATAATCTGGTAAGAAATTGTCTTTAGAATATATAAAGTGTCAGTAGAAACAAGTGGTCAATTAGACTTACCTTAATGTCTTGCTCTGAGCTCTCAGTTATAGCTTTCTGGGCAGCACTGGAAAGTGAATTTGCCACCTGTGGCTGAGCTTCCAGGAGTTTCTTCAGCTTCAAGTCTACCAACTTACTATTTTGTTCTGTTAAATATGCAAATACCATGAATAACAAGTAAGATTTATTTAGATGTATATTCTACCAATTGTAGGCAACATCACAAAAATATTACTGTATTTTAAAAGAAAGAGGAAAAGGGCATTAGGGCTGTGAGGCAACAAATCAGATTCTAGACATGTATAGAGTTCTTAAGACATGTATTTTGCCCTCAGAATGATTTCCCATAAAAAGTACAGTCACAATCAATATACCTGATGTTAACCAAGTTATGCTATTGGTAATGTCATTTTTTTGAAAAGCTAAGCTATACAGAATATATATATATATATATATATATATATATATATATATATATATGTAACTGCATAGGTTATATATAATAGCGAACTAGATAGTTAAATGAATAAGTATATTTGATTTAAAATTTTATTATTTTGTAATGTCATTCTTTTAGTATGTTAAGGTCATTTATGTAATACTATCTTAAACATGTTTCTTAACCTGCTCTCAGTCATATACATTCTTAGAGTCCAGTGTTAAGTGTGTACATATATACATATATTTATATATCCAGCATTGAAATGGTATATTTTCAAATACTTGCTTTGCAGATAGCAGAAATATCAGATTATCATGTTTTTAGAATTAAATCAAGATAAAAATTAAAACAGAACTATAATTTTTACAAGTAATTTCAAATTATTTTTAAATACATTAATCTGTAATAGTAAAATAGTTCTGAATAAAGTAGAAATAAATTTTTTTACTTTAATAATTTCACACAAGGCAATCTTTAATAAAATGGTTGTAAAAGACATGCCAACCATTTGGTGAATGATATTTTTCATAAAGATTAATAACTTTTCTAATTATAATACTCTTAATAAATGCTATTATCATTGCTTTCATGCAAATTGGTCAGTTTATATTGCTAGGCTTCTTTTTTAAAACAATATCTGATGAACTATGGTCAAATCAAGATAAAGATTAAACAACTTATTATTAAAACATTATGACTTTTATATACATATTAAAAAAGAATTTTGGGAAAAATACAGCAAGGATAAAGATCATAATATATTCTCTGTGCTTTAATTCCAGTTTGCCTTCCTATTTCTTACTGCCATAAAGTAAAACACGGATCTGAACTGGAAGCCAGTATATATCCATGCCAACACTTACTTAAGTGCTTAAGAACTATAAACAATACAAGTTAACCTCAAACAGGAAGAGTAAGATATGGTTTCTACATTGGCATAAAGTTAGGAGAGAATTCTTTTTAAAAGTCTAAGAGTCAAGCCTGTTAGGATTAATTAACCATTAAAAAAAATAACAGCCACAAAGTTGTAATAGCTGTAATTGGAAAACTCTTCTAGTTTTTTTACCCTCTTCCTAATCTACCATAAAATACAGACATATGCATTATTTATTGCCACTAATTTTATACAAGTATAAAGCAAGTGCTAAACCTTCAATTCTATTGTTATGTAGCTTATCAGTAAAGATATACTATGGTTTCTAAGAAAGTATTGGGTGTTAATTGTAATAATAGGATAGGTAGGCAACAACCAATATATTCTCATAAAGAAAAGGCAAACCCAATTTCTTCAATTTTTAAGAAAGAGTAAGAGGTATTCTTATTGAGTTAATAATTCAATTTTTTCTTATATATCAGACTTCTCTTGAACTTGCACAAATATACTGCTATCTAGCTTTACTATAATTTAATGCCAGGCCATGAAGGAGTTACTCTTAAAAGGAGATTTTTTTTTTCAAGTATTCTTTCTGGCTAGAAAACCTTGGTCAACTGTCTTAGAGAAGTAATGACTTTAAACAGGAAAAAATACCCAAAAGCAGGTTAGCATTATAGGAGTATGCCATTGATGAAAAAAAAAATGCCTCATTAAATTGAAACAGATCACCAAAGAGTGACTTCTATACGTATTTAAGTAATTCTACAGGTTAACAAAACTTGTACTGATTACTTGTAGCTAGCTTGTAAAGGCAATTCATGGAACATTCATCTGTTAAAAACTCCAAAAAAAAAAAAAAAATCTGGTGGTTCATGCCTGTAATTCTAGCTACTTAGGAGGCTGAGATTTGAAGGTCAGTTTGAGACAGCCCTTGGCAGGAAAGTTTGTGAGACTCTTATCTCTAATTAACCACCAAAAAGCAGGAAATGAGGCAATCATTCATGTGGTAGAACACCAGTCATGATCAAAAAAGGTTTAGAGACAAGAATCCAGATTCTGAATTTAGCCCCAGTATTAGCATAAAAACAAACAAAACAAAACAACCCACCAAGAAGTAACTTTTATTTTTAAAGGAAAGCATCTTTCTATTTTAAAGAAGAACTTACAGAGGTGAATGACCAATGTGATTCACTGATTTACTAACATAAGATATGATATTAACTTAGTTGTAATGATAATGGAAATTAAGCAAAATAGGAACTATATTTAAATATTTAAAGTAAGCATAGAACTTGCAAAATAATAATAATGTATCTAAGACTATCCATATTTTTGTTTTGCTTGTTATTTGAGAAACAAGGACTCATGATATAACCCAGGCTGGCCTAGAACTTGCTGTATAGCCCATGCTCATCTAGACCTCACTTTACCCCTGTATTGGCTGCTCCAGTGCTAAGCTTACAGGCATGTACTACCACATCCAGCTTTAAGACTTTAAATTTCATACTAAATAAAAAAGTCAGATTCATGGTTTGCATTTACATTTGGAGTATTCAATGGATACACCATATATACAATGTCAAACCAACATATTTAAACAGAGAAGAGAACCAGTTATTGAATGCCTACAAATTGCCTCATATAATATAAAACATAGGATTGCATAATACTAATAAGAGAACACAGTTACAATTTGCTATTCTAATGACTTTTAGCATTCAACCTAAAATAAAAAAGATAAAATGAAACTCAAAAACGTTAATGAAAGCAGATATAGCTAAATGATTTATGATAGCCACAAATGAGGTAAAACTATAAAATAAGATTATGAGACAATAACAATAAAAGCATGAAGTTTGCCATGCAGCAGGACACAAAACATTTATAATTTGAAATTACCAGGAGTATCAAGGTCATTTTCTAAGTTAGTAAGTTCATCTCCACCTCCTACAACAAAGCCTTCAGGAATTTCCTCGTTAGTATCTATCTCAATATTATCATTTTCATCTGTAAGAACATGTAGCAATAATGTTAGCATGTTATTTGTATTTTATATCCTTTGTTCAAAATACTAAAAAAGAAAGAAACCAGTTTTTTAAAACTGAGTTATTAAAACTAAGGTCTGACAAAGACAAGCAAGTTAAGAAATCAGTTTCAAGTCATTTTTTCACTGCTGGATTAACATTTATATTTTAAATTCTTATATCAAAGATGAATTATCATATCAAAGCATAACAAACGTTTTGACAATTTTCCACCTATTGTCTGTGCTGTCTCTAAGTCACTGAACTCCTTGAGTCCTTTTATTTTAACCTATAATCTCTTAAAATGGTACATAAAAATGAAGTTAACTTAATGAATCATCAAATAGTATCTTGAGAACTTATTTTTAGCATTCATTGGATGCTGAATAAACACTTAAGTTCTTATAGAACTGTAGCTATATTTAAACCATTGTAAGAAGATCTGTTTTTCTACTAAGGACTCATTATTCCCAAAGCATTAAGAATAAGATTCGAATACTAGACTACTATATTTTATTTATTTATTTTTTGTGGTGCTGGGAATTGAACCTAGAAATTTATACATGTTAGGCAAGCACTCAACCACAGAGTTAACATCCCCAGGCCTTAATATAGTTCCACTATATAGTAGAATGTTTAGAAACAACTAAGACAATACACCTTGGAAGAGCTAAAATTAGGACAATTATTTTAAAATATTAAATATACAGAAATGACGCTGTATAGCACTGTTTTATACCCTTAGTAAAATGTTATAGGTTAGAAATTGAGTCTTTTCTATATTAAAAATTTCTACTACATAGAAAAAAATATTTTCAAGCCCTCGTAATAAAATTGGTAATTTTGAATTCCATACATGTGCAGAGACATACGAACAGTCTTATTTACATATTATATATTTGTAATATACTATGGAACTTTTGGATAGATATAGATATATAGATGTCTACATCTATATTAGTTGTTTAGCTCTGGAAGTTGAAGTATACATACACACATACATACATAGTTGTTTAGTTCTGGGAGTTGATGAATATCCTTGTTATTCTCCTGCATATTTTTTTCTTTTCTAGATATATTTTTATTGTAAAAATACTGTACAGAGGGGTTACAGTTATATGAGTAGGATAATGAGTATATTTCCTATCAAGCATTGTTACCTCCTCATTTGTTTTCCCCTACCATCTTTCCCTCCCAACCTCCCTCCCGCACACCCTGAAATTGTAAAGTTCATTTTCAACATAGTGTGTTGTACATCTCACTGTTAAAATGGGTCAACCTGTATCCTTATTTAAGCATTTTGTTATATCCCTTCCCCTCCCCAAATTATAAAAATTATAAGTCAAATGAACTCCAAGACAGGACACAAGTGTTTTTTCTTTCTTGCTATTGTTTTTAACGTACTTATAATGCACTATGTGATTCTTTTGTTTGTACTTCCCCCATAGTATAACCCCAGTTTTCACTGTATCTGATTCAGGTGTCCTGCATCTCCTGCATATTTTTTTTTTTGGGTCCGGTTGTGGGGCCTGAACTCTGGGCCTGGGCGCTGTCCCTCAGCTCTTCAGCTCAAGGCTAGCGCTCTACCACTTGAGCCACAGCGTCACTTCCGGCTTTTTTTTCTTTTTGCTTATGTGGTGCTGAGGAATCGAACCCAGGGCCTCATGCATGCAAGGCAAGCTCTCTACCACTGAGCCACCTTCCCAGCCCTCTCCCGCATATTTTTATTGGACATTTTTTGCTAATGGTGATACATTCTAAAGATTTTTTTTCAAATTGAGAAGTTTCAGAATTCCTGAGCTTTGCCTTAATTCTTCAACATTTATGCTCCGAAACTGCACATGATTGATGTTTTTTGCTTCCCAAGTAAATATGTACTAAGAACATTACATAATTACATGTACTTTGTAAACCATTTAGAAGAAAATAACAAATACAAAAGACTGAAAAAATGTTCTCTGTGGGTAGTGGGACAGCAATAAAATTAGTAAGTGCTTTCACAGAAGTAGCTAAGGCATTATACATGACTTCAGTTAAGTACATCCAGTTGAGAGATCTGTTCAGATCAACTATACTTATAATAAACATTTAACTCATTTCACAAATGTCATTTCATCAACCATGTTATTCAAATAGTTTTGTTGCTTAAATGAATTATTTTCTAGGTGTTAAAAAGCTGACACAAACACTTTTTACTATTATTCTGTATTGGAGAAAATTTACTATTCATAGATTTAGGAGGTATGGTATAACATACTTTGTTGCTATCAGTCAGTATTCACTGATTATTACTGATCATAATTAACCTAGAGCAAAAGTAGAAATTTCAATATTCATTCCTTCACTCAAGGAACTTCTACCTACAATTAGCAAAACTCTGTGTTAGATGTTGAAGCGATACCAAATTCTGCAAGACATTTATTCTTCCTGAAGAGAATACATTGAAATGATTGTAATACCACATAGGATAGGTGTTAATGGAGTAGAAATAAAGTATACAACAGATTCAAAAGGTAAAAAGATGACTCTGTGCTTGTGACCAGGAATTCTTTCTTGTAAGTGCTAACCTTTAAATTAGGTCTTGAGAAGAGTATAGAATTTCGAGAGGTACAATTGAGAGAAGATCATTATAGACTTGAAAGGATAAAGGGGTAGGTTATGTTAAGAGAATATTATAAAGTCCAATTTGGCTCAAGCATACTCAGTGGGAAATAATAGGAGGGAGGACTTGAAAGGCAAAATGTAGAAAGTCTAGAATAACAGAATGGGAAGTTTATGTTTTACTTGATAGAAATGAAGAAATGATTGTGCTGTTGCATGAGCAGCACTGTACTTTACAAGATTAAACAGTTTCCAACCTAAGTATCTTCTTGTAGATAGTTGTAAAGTATGTATAATTTTTTTTTTTTTTGCTTATGTGGTGCTGAGGAATCGAACCCAGGGCCTCAGGCATGCAAGGCAAGTGCTCTACCACTGAGCCACCTTCCTAGCCCCAAGTATGTATAATTTATAAGTGGTAAAATAAATAATGAAGTTTATATCTTTTCTAAACAAGAGGAGCTTCACTATTATCTCTGCAATATCACTCATGATTAAATTCTCATATTCTACTTAGGTGAAAGAAAAAGCAATATAGGGTCTATGCATGAGAGTGTGACATCATCCTTCATGTAAAATAATAACCTTATGTGCTGGACTAGAGGACAGTAGAGCTGGAGGTAGGAAATTCAGGTTGAAATTCAGGAATAACTTGGAGGCAAGAAGTATGGGGAGTCTAATCTAAGATAAAAAGAACTGAGGATAGTTATGACACGATTTAAAAGCTTATTAGATATTGGGTTATAGAGAAGGAATACTGAAAAGAGTGAAAGTGAGGCAGATATCACAACTGAATCTCCACTAGAATGGTGGCTTCTTTCATATTCCTATGAAAAGGACTAATTAACTATGGAAATGCAGTTAGATATGGGTATTTTCAGCTACCAAGAATATATTCAAAAGTGTACCTTCTTTCATTACCCATTTATATAATGCCAGGTTCTGGTATAATGTTAAATAGATGCTATTCATTTTATTTCCAATTGATTACATTTGGGGTAATTTAATATTTATGTATGTATTGCTAATCTTGGATAAAAGGATTACCATTTGGGAGGGCAAGAGTAAGAATTGATCTCCTATACAGCTCAGATCTTCTTAAGACTAGATTCCTACTTCCTTTCTATTCACTAACTTCAGTTTTACAATGAACCTTGAATTCCTTTTATCAGTTAATATTACGCATTTCCCAACACACCTGTGGAAATGCTCTAAACGCATTCTAGCAGAACTAAAGTGGATGTCCATTTGTGTGCACATACATGTATACTATTACAGATAATATCATATATGAATATGAATATAGATGAAGATATAGATATCTTTTATGGCTAACCACTGAAAATCCAGTAGGTGAGCAAGGCAGAAACTAAACTAGAGATTCATTATGTAGGTGAATCTGGTTTGTAAGTATGGCATGTATTATGTGGCCAGGAAAATGTAAAAGGAGATTAGATGTGCACTGGAATGTGAAAAATGCATTTTGGTTGGCTCTGTATAAGAGTACAAGCAAAATAGGGATCCCAACAGTGTGAATTACAGCACAGCAATAAGGCTAATCTTATACTTTATGGGTGAATAGAATACTTATAGATCAACAGAATATCTGGTGACAACAACAAAAGAATATCTACAATTCTAAAGAAAAAAACAGGCTATTAAGAAAAAAATCAAGATGGTCAAAAAATTCTCCATTATGGTTTTTAATATTCTTAGCAAAAGCCCCTTAAAATTCATATACTTATAGCTTGATAAGTAGCACAAAAGTTAGCACAATACTAATTGCTATTAATAGAAGTTGAAAATTGGAAGTATTGAAGGGCTTTAAGATTTTATTTTGTCTCAACAAATTCAGGTAAATCCACTTTCCATATCTGAAATAATAAGGATCAGAAAGGCCCGCAAACATTCTCAAGGACACAATGAAGATATTTTCTTGCCAAGTGTGGTGACTCATAGTTGTAGTCCTAACTACTTAGGAGACTAATATTGGGAGGATAATGGTTCAAGGCTAGCTATGTCAAAAGGTGTGTAAGAACCCAAGTCAAACAACAAAGAGTGCTGGATATGGTGGCATATGCTTGTCATCCCAGTGATATGGGAAGTATAATAGAATCAAAGTCCAGTCAGGCATAGGTAAAAAGAAAACTCTATTTAAAAAGCAAATTAAAAATGGTCGATTTGAAATGTAAACCAAAACATTGTTTTCCAGGTGCTGGTAGCTCACTCTGTAATTCTAGCTACTCAGGAGGCTGAGATCTGAGGATAGCAGTTTGAAGCCAGCCCAGGCAGGAAAGTCCATGAGACTTTTGTCTCCAGTATAGCCAAAAGTGAAGCTGTGGTAACAGCACTAGTTTTAAGCAAAAAAACGCAGGAACAATATGC